AGGGGGGAAGTGCTCTCCGAAAATCGTTTCCCATTTCCTGGGGCAGACAGGAGACCCGGGGACCAGAAGCAGAACTTTCCTTGTGAGTTTCTTGGGTGGTCATTCACACACAAGAGCAATTCGCACCACCCATGTCGCTTCTGTCCCCTCCTCCACCCAAGGTTCTGATGAAGCCCCTAGCTCTCCCTCAAGGGTCTGGTTAGTGAACAATGCAGACTTTCCCAGGGTCCCATCATTGCGCTACAGAATTGCTGTTCCAGATGCTTTTTGGAATCCAACAATTTTGCTAGAACTTAATGATGCAAATCTTTGGAATCAAAGGAAGAAAGGTGGAAGCCGAAACAGGAAAACAGAAAGACATTCTAAGGAGAGAGCAAGGAAAGATGGGATGGTTTGTGGGTGTGTCGTAGTCCAAGAGGGCGTACGAAACATTTACAGCACAGGGTGTCAATGTAAAACACAGCTCTTGCTCCAAAGGAAACACAAAATAGTTTATTCTAAGCCAATATGAGTGATGAAGGCCCAGGGACATGGATTCCAGTTACCCTGAATAATGTGCTCCCCTGTGGAAGGAGTTACATGAATTTTTAGTCACAGAACAAAAGAAAAGTCATAGATGAGTGCATTTATCAAATAAAATGGTGCCAGGATCAGGTGGGCCGTTACAGATGATGCTCAGAGGTTCCCATAATAGTCATAAAGAAATTAGGTCAGAGGTTGAAAGCAAATGGCTATTAAGGGGACTAAGACAGCCCTCGATAATTTTGGCTGTCAACCTGCAACCTTCCATCTTCCCATAGTCACTGTGTTCCTGTAGGCCGAGGTCAGTCTTTAGGACTTTAACACAGATGCAGCTTCTTCAGAGAACGTCAGTTCCACGTGAGAGAATCCTTGGGTAGAAATGCTAAAACCCGAAATAAGAATGTTCATCTAACCGGAAGAAATCTCCACTTTATTTGTTGCAATGGGTATGTATCTGTCTATACCATAAAGCTCCCCAAAAATAACTTCCTAAAGAAAATTAAGTAGCATTGCAAAGTAAATGCCGGTTGGCAAGAGGAAGGAGTGAGTTGTGATACAACCATGCCCTGGAGTTTTATGCAACCAATAAGAATGAATGACAGCTGCTCTGACAGTTCATCTGGAGGGAGTTCCACTGGAAGAATGTAAGTTAAAAAATTTTTTAAAAAAAGGTGTGGAAAAGTAAACACTGTGGCCCTACATTTATAAAACAATGAAAAGCCTTTATGTGTGTCTACGTAGCACAATTTATAGACACAGATGGTCACACAGGCATGAACGAAGTGCTGAAGGACACAGGCCAGGTTGTCACCTGCAGGGGTTGGGAGATGAAGGGAGGAGGTGCCTTAGAAGGACAGACAGGTAGAGAGACAAGTAAAAAAGAGGCTTACGTCAACAATAAAACTTGATATTTGTGCTATAATCCCATTTAGGTCAAATTCCTTCCATTCATTAATCTATCTGCAAAAGAGATTAAAGAAGAATATTTATATTAAGTTAAAAAAAAGCTTACTGCAAATGAATGTGTATATAATGAATACAATATTTCATGAAATAGTTCCATGAAAACAATATTTTTGTGTGTACAGAATTTGTTTCTATAGGTAAGGAGAAAATGTTAGTGCATACTACAGAGGTTTTTTTTAAAGAGTATGAAATATGATATGTCAAGAGCTTTGTAATGTTTTGAACAACTAATAATAATAAATAAATAAATGGGAAAAAAAGAAATTAATTTCATGCTTGTTTAGAATTTGGAAAATGGAATTATAACCAAATTACTAGTTTTTCCCAAAACCTATCAGTATAATAAAATATTTATTCAATAAGAAAAAAAAATTAAAAGAGGGCCTTAGTGTTATTTTAAAAATACTTTTGTTTTCTGAAAGGAGTCATAAGACTTTTTGAGAAACAATGGTTCCATTCATTATCTGACCATCTTTAAAAAAAAAGACATGGCACAAAGTCCTAAAGTTTGAGATGAAACAGCTATTAGAAGTTAATTAGGGACAGTCCTGCGCTGACAGATGGTCATCATTTTTGATTGATACCCCTCTCTTGCTGAGACCATTCTGTGTTACAGTTCACGTGTGATTACAAGGACCACAGAACAAGCAGAAATGTTTAATAAGCTGAGCTTCAAGGCAAACAAATAGAATATTGGCCCCAGCCACTTCGACTTCCCCTAATGACTTTAAGACTTATTCTCCATTTACTTTACCATCATCTCAAATGGGAACTTGTGTATACCCGAGCCCTTGGCTGGTATTTAAGCTGTGGTTCATCAGGGGATTAAGCAGCCAGTCCTAGCATTAGCTAGCATTTTGTAGACATCTGAACATCTGAAAAGTCAGAATTCTGGAAGGTATGACATTTTTGTGGGGTTGGATATAAGGATTAGGATTATGGAAGGCATTTGGAACAATCTTACCCTACTTATTGTGTAGGGTTAATGGATAGTCTTCTTAAGGATCACCAACTCTCTAGATTTCTCTTTCAGCCACACAGTTTACCCTTCTTTTTTTTTTTTTTTTTTTTTGTGTGTGTGTGTTGCTGTGTTACTGGGGATGGAACCCAGGGCTTTGTGCATGTGAGGTAAGCACTCTACCAATTGAACTAGATCCCCAGGCCCTACCCTTCTTTTTGATGATGATACTCAGGATAGTAATTGCTGTCTCAGTGAATAACTGAAAAAATTCAGAAAGTCTCTTCTGTATTAAGTATGTAATGGAAAAATCTGGAAACTTGTGTCTGGTCCTCATCACAGGGCATAAGTAAGAAAATATGTGCAGTGAGCTGACTTGTTTTAGCATTTGATCGTAGTCGTTGGGACTTTAAATTCCTGAGCTGGACAATCTGTAAGTGACAGTTGGAACAATTGGAAGAAAGAGGACCAGGGATAGCACTTTTGCTGGGGCAGCTGGCTACTGTCACAGTGGAGAGTGGTGGCTGGAAGCTGCTCTCAGCCATGGGGTTCTTATCCAGTGTCCTTGCATCTAGATTGGGCTGTGTGATTTGGCTTTGGCAAGTTGACACCACTTCTCGGTCTGGTTCTGAGAGCATTTGGGGTTGAACTGTGTTTTTTCAAAGTCATGTGTTGAAGTAATAATGACCAGTATCTCAGGACGTTACTCTGTGTGTAAATAGGGTCTATAAAGGGGTAATCAAGTTTAAATGAAGTTAAATGAGGTCATAATCCAATATGACTAGTATCCTTATAAAAAGAAGAGATTAGGGCACAGATATACACAGGGAAGTCCATGTGAGGACACAGGGAGAAGATGGCCATCTAGCCAAGGAGAGAGACCCTTAAGAGAAACCAACCCTGCCTACACCTTGATTTGGATTTCCTGAACTTTCTCTGCTCATTTTCTTTCTTCTTTTCAGGGTCTGTGGGAATAGGGGGCACCTAGGACCAACCTGGACGTATGATTAAAGATGGTCAATCCTATATTAGCTTGGGACTCTGGATAACTCTTTGGGTTGGGATCTGGCGTTAATGGTAATTGTGATTACATATTTGGAATTTAAATAAATAAGAAATAAACTAGTATCATGTGAAGCCATGGAGACTGAGATTTACCCAACAGTTTCCTTCCCTAAACGGAGATGACCTCAATGTCGATGAAGGGAGACAGATGGCCACACCTGGAAGAACACAAGTATCCATGGGAAGTGATGTCCTCTGCAGCCACAGAACACTCTGGAATAATGAGGATAAGATGGATTAAAGTAACCAAGATGTCTCATTAGTTACCCTATGGTCCTGGGAGTGGAGAGCAAGGAGTGGGGGAGGAAGCAAATACTCAAAGCCACATGATGCCACAAAAGAAGATATCATGATCTGGGACTGAAACCCTTGGGTGAATGACTCTCATTTAGAAAAATGATGGATCCTGTGCTGATAAACAACAGCTGTGGCAGAAAACGCAAAAAAAAAAAAAAAAAAAAGTTCATGTTTATATTGGCTTCCACCGTCAGGGCTTTGCATGTGGAGTGTATTGTGCGTAACGTTTTCTGACTCAGTTATTTAATAAGTCACCAAAGCACCCAAGTAATTAAGAGGTGGGTGGTCTATCTTGATGGGTAAACAACGTAATTCATCTGTGGTCCTTTTAGTTCCTGCTGTTGGAATGAGTTCCAAGTGCGCAAAACTCATTCACAATGAAAACTGAAGATGGTGCTTGTCTGTCAATGAGTGAATGATCTCTGGGAACCCCCAAGGCCATCAGCACCAGTGTAGCAGGCTGGGACAGGAGCCCGGATCTGGAGCCATCCACAGCTGCCAGACTGCCCTGCCACCTCTCTAAGGATGTGCTGTTGCAACAGGGCTAACCTGAGGATACTCCCTATAAAGGAAATGATATTCTTATCCATTTTTACACCCCATTTTCCTTCCAGCTTCACAGGGGCACAGACTCCCTATGAACTGAGTTAGGTGTGGCCATGTGACTTGCTTTGGTCAGTGAAATCTGAGCAGACATACAGGATGCTACTTCTGGGTGAAAGCATTTTCACCAATTTTATGATGCAGTGCACACATTTTGGGCATGTTGGTATATGCGAAGCAACCTGCAATACTGAACTGCCCCCAGGTAACAGTTGTTTGAGAAGGTGTCCTAGACCTGCAAAAGAGTTCACCTGGTGTTCAGTTAGTTACTTCTTTACTGAACCCATCCTGACTAAAGTTTGTCATGGATCTATGAATGTTTCTGAATGCTCATTGGGGAAAATGAGACTGACCCAATGTCTATTCCCTTCTTTGTTAGGGTCTGTAAACAATTCAAGATGGCTCCTGGCATTTTGCCAGAGGGAGTGGTGTGTGAAGTAACGCCAGTGAGCCATTAAGTGTGGAGATCCCTTATTGGTTGACTGCTGTATCTAGTTTATGTTAATTAAGATAAGCTGTGTGGAATGTATATATATCCCTCCTGTCCTACAATAAACGGCTCCCACTCCTGCTGTATCAATGTACACAAGTTGCTCGTCACCCCCCTGATTAGTTTGCCCAGCCAGCCAGGCTGCAGCACTTCTTCTTCAGATTAATAGAACATTTTTAGTTGTGTGTATAGGAGCATAAAAACCAAAGGTGATATTTCTCAGCCTCCCTCTTAGTTAGGAAGTGGCTATGTAACTAAGTGATTCTATGGTAGCCTGCTATATCCCAGAAAACCATGATTTGTCTTTCTGATTCTTTGTTGCTTTATCTTAGCAAAAGAAATCTTATCCATGAAAACTATGCATGTCTCCACCATGCTCTGCCTTGGGTCTGAATAGAAAGGAAAAGTCACTTCCTATGTTAGGTTATAAAAAGACTGTGCCTCCCCTCTTGGGTGCTCCTTACTTGTTTATTCCAAGGGGAGCTAGCTGTCGTGAGTTGCCCAGTGAAGAGCATCAGGAAACAAAGAACTAAGGGTAGCCTCTGGCTAACAGCGACAGAAACCTGGCACCGTAAGTTCCATAGGCCACAGGAGCTGAATCCTGCCCACAACCACATGAGTGAGCTCTGACACAGGCCCTCTCCTAAGGCAAAGCTTCAGATGAGATCACAGTCCTGGATGGCAGCTTGTCTGTGACTTCATGAGAGACCTTGAGCCAGAGGAACCCAACTCAGCCAGGCTCAGAATCCTGACCCTTAGAAACGGTGGGATAATAAATGGCTGTTATTTTAAACAGTGACGTTTGGGAGTCACTGTGTTAGGCAATACGCAACAAATACACTGGCAGAAAGGATTTGCATGATAGTGGCTTGTGAAATTTCTGATTTATGCCATTAAAGGGAAGGGACACACCCTTTCCATTCCCTCCCTGTCTGCCTAATGACTAAATGTCACTGTGGAATGACTACTAGACCATGGACCAAAGGAGACAGTTGAAGGCCGACAGAGCTGTAAAGCGGAAGGAGCCTGAGCCCCAGACAGCTGTGCGGAGCAGAACTGGGGTCCCAGGTGGTACTTCTATGTGAGAGAGAAACACACTTCTCTCTCATTGAAACCCTTGTGACCTGTGTAAGGAAGCTGGGCCTCCACCAGGAACTAAACCTTTACTTGAATTCTGTTGCATGGAAATGCTCTGGGAAACTAGCTCTTGGGAACCAGCTTCTTCAGAGAAGCTGAGACTCACATTACCAAAAGTTCATCAAGAGACTTGAAGCTGGACATGGTAAGAGCCATTTTCTTCCTTCAGAATGAGAGAATATAGAAGCCAGTCTCTAAATGAGACATTTGTAACTGTCAGGAAGAGGAACCTTGGGAACTCCATGATCACTTTGGATGCTACAGAAGAGAGTCTGGCAGCTCCACAGGCAGGCGGCTGATGACCTGCATTTTTATTCACAAGAATATCAGGCTAAATAGCTCTTTTTTAAAAAAAAATCATGGGACCATGTTTATACTAAAAACTCAGAAAGGGGCATTTTCAAGGTGGCACAAATATGCAGCTCCATGAGTGGCTGTAATCCACAGTAGCAATGTAGACCCCTTCTGAAATACCTCTGTGAGAGGTCAGCTCTCCCTGGGGTGAAAAATGAGCTGAAAGAGTATTCATTCACGGCAAAGAGTTATGGGCTGCCTAAGGAGATGGAGCCTTAACTGTAACTGGGACTATTTGCTTTTCTAATGCTCAAATTTAATGCTGTAGGTTTTACAAATAGCTAAAATAGGACAGATGTAAAAACCATCATTGACATTGTGGGGTCTCTAACCCATCCAGTCCACCGCTGAACCACAGCTCTGCCAAAGAGACTCTTATTTTCCTTTCTGATTTAATCCCTAATCCTGACCCTGTTGACTGTGAAGACAGACGAAGAGAAGAAATGAACATCAGACACAAAAAGGACTTGAATAAAAGGAATGACCTGCATTTTCTTGGATTGGAAGACAGTCCTAAAGGACCCTTTCCCCTAAACGAGTCCACTTAATTCACAATCATTTCAGGTAAACATCTCAACAGGATCTGGGAGGAAGTTGACAAAAATTATTCTAATGTCAGTCTGGAAAAATAAATATTTGAAAATAACCGAGAATAATTTGAGACAGAATAAGGGAAGATCTGTCTTATACGAATGAAATATGTTCTTACAGTAATAAAAACAGTGTGGTCCTGGCCCGGGAATAGACAGGTGGATTAATGGGCTGAGACAGAGAATCCAGAAATAGACTCCTCGCCGCAAGGCTGAGGATGCAGAACATGGGAAAGATACCATGTCAACTCAAAGCAAGAAAACCATCTGATTAAAAAAAAGAAAAAAAGAAAAAAAAAAAGGGCACAGGATTGGAAGAGGCACATCACTGAAGAAGATCTACAAACAGCAAATGAACTCTTGAAAAGGTGCTCAACGATGTCAGCTATTAGGGAAATGTAAATGAAAACCAGAGTGAAATATCAATACACATCTGTTAGAATGGGTTAAGGAAAAAAATAATTTTAAACAAAGAACAACACCAGCATCTGAATTACCGCTGACTGCTGGGAATGCCCAAGGGGTCTAACTGCTGTGGAATCAGCAAGGCAGTCTCTTCCAGAGGAAAGATGATGATGTGCTCCAGCAATGTTGCTCCTAGTGGGAGAAAGGAAAGTGCGTGTTCTTACAAAAACCTGTTGGCAAATGGTCATAGCAACTTTGTTTATAATCATGTGTGTGTGTGTGCGCACACACACACACACACACACACACACACATGCACAAATAAATAATCAGAAAACACCTTACATGAACAAACCGTGGTACAATAGAATACCTCCCAGCAATGCCAGGCTGTGAGCTGTCAATACAAACACTGCATGAGTGATCTTCCGTGCTATGCTGGTGTGGATGTCCGATGTGCCCCTGAAACCCCTGTCCCTCGCACGGCACTGTTGGGATGTGGTGAAGGCTTTAGGTGGGGGGGGCCTAGTGGGAGGTTCTTGGGGATGCGCCCTCTCAAAAAGTATTGTGGGGCCCTGGTCCCTTCCTCTTTCTCTTTTGCTTCCTGGCCACAGTGTAAAAGGTTTGCTCTGCTGTATGCTATCCATCATTGCCACCGGGCACTCCCACCAGAGACCCAAAGGGTTGGCTCCACCTGATCTTGAATTGAAAACTCTCAGACTATGAACCAAAATAAGGCTTTTCCTCCTTTCATGTTTTTGGGGTACTGGGGATTGAACCAAGGGTGTTTTGCCACTGAACTACCTCCCTATCCTTTTTTTTTTTTAATTAAAAAATATTTTTGTAGTTGTAGATGGACAGCAGGCCTTTATTTTATTTGTTTATTTTTAGATGGTGCTGAGAATCGAACCCAGTGCCTCACATGGGTGAGACAAGCGCTGTGTTGCTGAGCCCCCAGCCCCAGCCCCCTTTTTATTTTTTATTTTGAGAGAAGTCCTCACTAAGTTGATGAGGCTGATCTCAAACCTGAGATCCCCCTGCCTCAGCCTCCCAAGTCACTGGGACTACAGGTGTGTGTGCCACTGTGCCCTGCTCCCTTTATTCATCATCAACTTCCATTTTCATAACTGTAACTTGCAGCTGTACCCAAGATCTGCACAGCAAGTCATTCCATCTTTAACACATTCTGAAAAAGTCAGAGCTATAAACCTGGAAAAGCCACAAGAAGTTTGCCCTGGGTTAGGGATGCAGTGGGAATTGACCACCAAGGGGTCATGAGAAGAGGTTTGGGGGGCGACAGGACAGTTCTCTTGTGTTGGTTACAGAAGTCTCTACAT